CAGAGAAACAAGCTGAGCTAACGTTAGCAGCTGGACAGTGTCTGATAAACTAATAATAATAATAATAATTCTAATCTGCAAATACTATTTGTATTATTACTGTTTTGTATGGAAGCCCATTTCTTCAAGTTAAGTTAAAATTATGAAACAAAAAGTCATAATTATGATATAAAAAGTAAAAAATATATTGAAATTGTGATAAAACATCAAAATTATTACATAAAAGTCAAAATTATGAAATACAAAAGCAAAATGATGATATATAACATTAAGTCATAATTAGGAGGGGAAGGAAATATGTTTTTGAAATTAACTATGAAAAAAAACAAAGCTCCTGCAATTTCAATTTAGATTAAGTAAGAAAAGATATTGTTGTGTCTCTTTGTCAGGTTAAACAGACAGTGTATGTCTTTCGGAAAAATCCAGAAAAACCCTCAATGAGCCAGTGATTGAAAAACCACAGTTCCTGTCAAAGGAAGATCCGATACCTTTTATAAAATATGTAGGAAATTCACCTGTATTTTATAAAATGAAGGACCTATAAAATGATGAACATATTCTTAGATTCAGCGTGACTTGAACTTTCTACATCATTATCTCTGATGTCCATTATGAATAAATGGCCATAAATCCACTTGAAAGTCATGGAAAAAAAGACCATCCTTAGAACTGCAGAATTATCATATTTTTAAGTTTTCTTCAGTATAACATAATCCAGTCTGTAGATTAATGTGTACACTGCTAACAGGAGCTGCTAACGGCTAATTCGGTTTGCTTATTGGTGACAATTTGACAAGATGTGAACAAATATAGGCTAAAACAATAGGAAATGCAGTACTGTTAACTTTTTTCGGATATTTTTGAATCTCAGAAGGTGTCACTGAAATTAGGGGGGTGGGGGGCATTTTCAGGACTTTTACAGTTGTCCAACTTTTCATGCCAGATGACATTTTAGTGGCAAAAATCTGATTCAAGGCGGCGGCGTGAGCAAAGCCCTCGAAATCTCAAAGCGAAGAATATGGCTTTAATAAAAAACAATGTGCATCCAAGAAGCAAGAGCAAAACAGATTCATCATCAACGTCATAATCATCGTCGTCTTTAAAGGAAAAAACAAATGAAATTAAATAAAATCAGAACATAGAAGCCATAAAGAAGCACACGGGGGCGGACAGGAGGGTTGGAGAACTTGCAGTTTGGAAGTACATTAAAAGACGAGAGGAGGCAGGGCTCCGTAGAAAGGTCACGGCGGACCGAGACGGCCGCTTCGTTTGACATCAACGTGGAGCCCCGAGAGCTCCACCGACAACCCGGAGGCTGCGAGACGCCCTCACCCTCACCCTCATCATCATCATCATCACCAACAAAAAGATTTATTTTTATTTTCTGTCTTTTTTTTTTTTTTAAATGTCTTCTCTCTCACCGATGCCCAAAGGAAAGTCCCACAATGCTTTGCTTTAGCATCTGAAAGTTTGTGGTGGGCAATGAAGCAACATTAAACAACAAAAGAAAAGAAAAACATTCTTCTCTCCTTCCTCTTCTTCGTGTTTTAGCTGGCGCGAGGAGACCGCCCGTCTCCCAGCGGTTGAGGAAGGCGTTAGATCACAGGGTCGTCGTTGTAACTCACGTATTTCTTCTTCGCTGCCGGACCTGGAAGAGACAGAAAACGGACACAACTCAGTGTCTTGAGGCTGTTATCTGAAGGTTAAAAGGTTATGATGGAGGTGAAATGGTTTAAATAAAGCTTGAATTATGAACTCTCACCGAATATAAAGTTTAATGTTAGAAATGTTCAGTCTGGGTCTCCAGCATTTACACACTGACAGATGCTAACTTGCATATGTTGGACAATTAGCATAATTAGCATTACAAGTCATACTAGTCTATATGCAATGTTTCAGCAGCTGATTGGCTGATTTGGACAATATAGGAGTGGGTTTAAAGATTATTGAGAATGCTGAATTCATTTCTGACATTTTAAACTCCAGCTATCGTCAGTAGAACTGTATGAAATGTTACACACATGGCTTTACATATGATATTTCAAATTTGGTTGCAATCCAAATTTGGGTTCAGCATCAATGGTATTGCTAGCAAAATAATGAGTGGATATGTTTGTTGGCTAGAGCCATTTAGCTGCTGGAAAATTGTCCATATAGCATATAAGCTTAAATTGTCTTTATTTAGGGTCTTATTTTAATGGTTCGAGAGCGACAACCAGCTCAGACTGTTAGCTTTGGTTCATAAAGATGCAGCAGGCTGGAAGGTGAATATTGATCGCTTATTGAATATGTTCTCTGTATAAATACATGCTCCCAGCTGGAACATTTAATTACAAGTTGGCAGTTTGGTGGTGAGTTTGTTAGCCTAACATTAGCTTTTTATTTCTGGCGAACACCTTAGAGGATCATAAAAGTTGTGTTCAGCGTCGTCACCAGCAGTATCTGAACTTCTGTTCACCACAGAGATTATTTTCTGCTATAATCCAAAATCCAATGGAACAATCTCATTGGCTGTTTGTGGAAGGAAGCAGGACGATGCTAACTTCAGAGTTGGACTACTGAAATACGTCAGAGAGCATTAACTGCATTAACAAGACTTCCTTTAAAAAAAAAAAGTTTTACATCTTATTTGAAGACTTCTGGTAGCTGGACTGACCAAAGCCCTATCAGATTTGGTCCTGTCAAGCAAAAGAATAAGTGAATCTGACAGGGTGTTTTAGCAGACTGTGTTGTTTTATGAAAATATCTATTAATATTTGAAGATCCAGTTGTTGCTGAATTTTAGTCAATCTTATTTATAATCAGATTCTCAGCAGTTCTGAGACAGCAGACGTCAGGAGCTGGTGGTCGCGGCCGGATGAAAATAAGACCCTCAGATGTTACATGAGCAGGTTGACCTCCTCCCTATCTCCCCCCTGCAGCTGCCCCTCCCCCGTCCTCCCCCTCGGCCCCTTGGTGTCCGTCTGGTGACAAATGGCTTCGAGCCAAAAGCCCATCATCAATCATGCATACATGAATATGCATATGAAGGTGTGATGAACTTTTTCATTGTTCATACAGAAAGCAGTCTGACGGTCCCTGAACCTCTCACTGAATCTCACTGTGTTTGGAGTTCAGTAAATTTACAGAGAAAGTTTCTCTTCAGGTTTTCAGGATGAAGAGGAGAAAAGTGAGGAAGAAGATGGAGGAAGAAGCCCCCAAAACAATGTGGAATATTTTAATTTCTCTATTATATCACTGACATAGAGAGAAAGTCTGTTCATTCACTGTTAATCTGCAGTACACACAGTTAGAGAATAACTAACAGACACAGGTCCGCTGTGTTCATTCGAGGTCGTATTCTGTGGGTCTCATGGTGGTGTCGCAAAATGGCTTGCCCTCAACTCAGCCCCTGAGGCACGTTTGACCAATGTATAAAAAATTGGTCTGCTCATGTATCACGATGAGATGAACAAAAAAGCCTCTTGGACCCATAAACCATCCCATCCCTATACCCATCCTCCTAGGGAATTTATTGAATCAACTTCAGATTTGATCAGTGTAATCTAAAGGCCGTCACAATTAAAAGTTGTGCTATTTATGACATCGAACAGCGTGTCCGTAGCCTGGTGCCAAGTTTTTAAGTCATAACTTCATTGTTTCACTTCATGTTTGATAAGAGTCCCGCCCTGAACACATCTCTTTGCAAATATTCAGATACAGACTACTGGACACAGGAAATTACATATTTCATACTTTCATGTACTCCTAGCAGGTTGATCGGATCCAGCTGAAATTTGGTCAGAAGACCTCAAGATGTTGATGATGATAAGCTACGCTGTTGCTGTGGCAACGAGTTGAATGTTGGTGTTAACTTTTCTACAACTAATGGCAGCTTTAGGGAGATAAACATCCTTTCCAAATTCATGAAACTCTGATCATTCTCACACACTGTCTAACTTACAATATGATGTTTCGGTTCTAGACCTTCATCAGCCCATTGGTTCCTGACAATTAGAAGCAGTCTTAAATAAAGAGCGGCTATGAGTCTGCAAACATAATTTCCCACGTTCCCACAATGCCTGCTTGGTTTATTTTTGTCTTCTCTCTAAAACTATATATTGTATGTATCATACTGCACATATCACTAAATGTTCTTTAGAGTGGCGTCCTTTTTGCAGCTGGAATATCTGACACAGAAATGTGACTTTTGGTACAATATTCAGCCTTTATTCTTTGTTATTTGTGGAAATAGTTTCAGTTCATGGACTTGATTTATGTCCATACAAACTATAGAGATTTTATAACCACTGGACAAATTTGCCTTAATTCTTTTGAATTATACAATATTTATTGTTGTATTTATGCAATTTTCACTTTTTTCTGCAATTCTGTTGCAAAAAACACCACAACATGCATTAAAATGTTTTAGAAAAGCTGCTGTGAAATCAGAACAATCCCCAAAAAAAGCCTGTGAAAGCCTGGATGAATCGCCTAAAGAGCTACACATAAACACTTATGATCACAGTTTTATTATTAAACTATTACAAGGAGTTTGGACTGTTTCAGTTTAATACTGATGCCTTTATATATTTTCATCAAAAAGAAGATTTCTATATAGTTAGTCCCCTTGAAATCAGTAAGATGAGGCAGTAGAAACACTACCAGTGAATGCATTTGTTGACATCTGAAGCTCCCATTCGTTCCTCACACTAAGAGTTAAAAGGTGAGCCACAGGTGTGGGAGTGTTAGAAAGGGTAATGCCAGAAGACGGTAATGTGGAAGTGTCGCAGACCCCGCGGGCAACGCCGAGAGAGAGGCTGAGATTTGGAGCTACGGCTTGTAAGGGCTCCTCTCTGAGTGCATTCGAGGCCCTGAGAGTGTTAGAGATACAGAGCCGCCTTTGTTGTATCAGGAATAAGCTTTTGAAGGAAGGCAGAGAGGCTTTTTAAGAGCAGAATCAGAGGGATTTGGCCTTTGAAGAGCAACTGAAGCCAGAAGAACGGCGAGAGATAAGTCTTTGTTGTCGGGGAATCAGCTGCAGGAGCAGAGAGGAGGAGGAGGAGGGATGAAGCCATCGTCAGTGACTGAGGGCCGTTACAGCGAGGTGAAAGAGAGAGGGTTTAAAGATGGAGTGAGACCTGAGTGCAGAGGGGGAGAAATGGAGTGAGAAACGAGGGGGGAGTCGACCCGGGCCGACAGATGGCTGTGGTGATCTTCATGGAGTCCAGGCTGAGCTGCAATCTGCTGACAGTGCCGACTCTCTTCCGTCGACTACCGTCAGCTACCGTCAGCTACCGTCAGCTACTGACACCTATAATCAACTACCATCGACTACCTTCTACTACCATTCTTTTCCATTCTAAATGAAAATAAGCCAATTCTATAAAAGTGACATTGCTTACCTTCAAATACATATATTTTATGAAAAGATTTGTTTTCCTACCTTTACTCATTTACTGTCTGACTTTTCACTTCCTCCCGTTGTAAAACGTAAATAACATTGCTGTTCTTTAGAAAAGCTGCTGTGAAATCAGAAATTTTAGGACAAACCCAAAAAAAAGCCTGTGAACTCCTGGATGGACCACCAAGAGCTTCACATAAACACTAACGATCACAGTCTTATTATCAAACTCTTACAGCGACAGTTTTAACAGTCTCAGTTTCATACTGATGCCCGTGTTCAGACATTTACAGTTATTCTTAATGTCAGAGGCTGAATCAACACAAAATTAAGGATCCTTGTTGGCGCTTTAAGCGGAGATAGAAAGATTTAACCCACTAGTGGACAGCTGTCAAATAAAGCAATCAGTTTGTCGAACTTCTTCTTGATGCTTTAACCCCAACAACCCCACCGTTATAGCGACACATGCAGGATCCTCTCACAGGCTGCCTACATTAGTGGAGCAAGAGCAGTAAAAGCAATGGAAGCCTATTTCTGCCAATGTGACGGAAAAAGGGAATTCTGTAAGTCATTATAATGAGAAACTTAATCATGAAATCATAATAATATTATCTCTTAATATCTCATAATAATGACTTAATATCTCTTAATAATGACTATTCTGAGACAGTTTCTCACAGAGAAAGAGTTACAGAATCCTTTTTTATTTCTGGCACATTGGCAGGAATGGACTTCCGTAACAATCGGAGGTCTCAGGAGTCAATCGTGTTGTTAAAGTGGCGCTCTAACAGCGAGCACGCAGCTGCAGAGACTGACTGTAAATCTGCCACTCACACAGTCACATTACGCTCTCCTCATGTAAAAGTTATGAGTCAATTGAAAGATAGCGATAAAGAGCTGTGGAGGATATTTAACATTCCCCGCACACACTTCCTCCTCTCCCTTTATCCCCCTCTCTCCTCCTCCAGAAGGAAATGGATCAAGGTCAGGACAGCATAGCAGAAGTAGAAGATTAATTTGCTCTTACCTCTGATAAATTATGAAATTAGCCTGTCAGGGGGAGAAAAACATGATTTGGTGAGTTGTCCCTGAGAGCCCCAGAGGGAATCCCACTGCGAGCTGCTAATGTGATCACATTGCCATGAAATTTATATTTCTGAGAACATTCAGGTTGGAAATTATTATTCCTTTTTCCTACAGAGCAAAAAAGCAAGTTTTGTCATTTTGTTCTTTTTCCATATCAGAGAAAATGATGTTTTTGCATGCTCAGTGTTTGTTATGGAAATATGGAATATGGTGTGTGTCCTGATAAAACTTCATGTTCAAATCATAAAAGAAAAATGTTTCACACTGAAAAAGCCCATGAATGAGACATAATAACGGCTGTCTCCTTAACAAACCTTCAGCTTGTTGAATATGAATCAGCGGTCGCTCCCAAAATAAAACATCCTCTGTTTTTCTGAATTAACAACTTCTCGGGCCTCAAGCAAGAAGGAATATACGAACACATTGCTCTTATTTTAGTTTGGATCCATTAGCATCCACTGATTTCTGTTTTCATATTTTTGCTCTTCTCTGAGCTCAGAGAACATTTGATGACCTTGTACCAAGAAAAGAACGAAATGTCCACAAATTGTTCGTCAAACGGAAGAAACATACATATGAGGAACATCAAAAAACAGATAAACATCATATAATAATATCAGATTAGGTGTTTTATAGTAATCACAGTGATTGGATTATTCTGTGGGCTAAACAAACAATATTGCTCCACTGATTCCAATTAAAACTATATAAACACTTGGATGATACTGTGTGTGTTCAGCAGAGATTAACATAATAATATTCTGAGTCAACCTCTCCAATAAATTCAGTTCATATAATCTCTGCCTGGATTATCTACATGTGTTCACTGCACACGAGTCCTGTAAGAATCTGAAGAAACATGAGGATGGTAATAACAAACTTTGCAGCTGATGATGAGGTCAGGACCAGGTCCAGAACTTATGGATGCGTAATTCATTCACCTGAAACAAACCTGTTTTTAACGACTAATTATCTTATACTGTTTTTCTGAATTAATGATTTATCTCATAATTCTGAGATAATTTTTCATATAAAAAAGAAACGTTTGAGGAACATAAACACAATTGGAAGATTGCTTTATTGATCCGTAATGAAACTATAAAAACGCTACTTTTATCATTTGTATCATCAATAGATCAGTTACTTCTTTAATTCATCATTTGCATTGTTCATTTTTCTACTGATATTTTTTACTGTATTAAGAACATTTTGGTGCATCTGGAGTTAATTTCTCTCATATCTGATAACAGAAAAGAGGGACTCTAAGAGAAGGTTGGAAGGTCCATTATGTGACACAGAACGAGTCCAACACTTCTGAGTTTTGCTAAATCACAAAATATTTTAACTTGCTCTCATGTTTAAGCTGTTTTCAGTCCAGGAAACAAGAAGAACGTAGTGGATTAATATTCATCCTTCATACAAATCAGTAAGTCCAGGAGGTGAAATACATGTATGGATGGATGACTAAAATAATAACATGCTTTATTACGTTTCAATTGATTTCAGGTCCAGTTTTACACCTCCTTTAGTGTGCTCTATATGTGACTGTAGGACCTCATTTCATTTCAGCCTCTGATGGAAAACACAGTTTTCCCCGTGTGGACTGACAGGAGTCCGTCGCTACTTACTGTTGGGGTCGACATTCTCACACAGCTCCGTCTTGGCCTCCCCGTTTGGTCTGTCGCTGGCTTTGTGGGAGAGTCGGGACGACATGGTGGCGGCCGTGACGACAGCTTTGAAGGAGCGTTTCCTCTTCTGCACGTTGAGCTCCGGGTGGAAGATGATGACGTAAACTTTGGGCATGTAGAGCATCCCGAGGGCCACGGACGCGCTCAGGTTCATGGAGATGGTCAATGTGGTGGTCTGGATGTACAGCTGAGGAGGAGGACAAAGAGCGATTAGTGACAAAAACACAACCAATAAATGGAATGACTTCTTCCTCAGCAAAAAGTCTTCTGCTGATAGAGAGCTGTTAATGTATCTGGACAGCGATGATGACTGTATGTCAGTGCTGGAAACACAGTACAATATAATAACTACAGTTCTGGGGTTTACTGACTCCACTCTGTGTCCTCTGAATGTTGCTTCAGGTCTCACAGTACACCAACAGAACTATACTCATTAATACTCATTAATACTCATTAATACTCCCACTGACAGGACTGATCCACCTGTGGCCGTCGGTCATTCAGATCTGTATATGGAGAGACATTCGCCTAAACAACAGTGTGTGCATCTCCGGCTCGTATCAACAATCTCATTCTTTTGGTTGCAACCTGAAGCTCATGCTGACGCCTTCAGGCTCAGTGAATAAATGTTTCACCAGGAAGGACTCGCTGTAACTACCTCGCTGCATTTATTTGGTCCGGCTGAAGAAAAGTTCCTGGCTGACTCAGGAAACACGGCCTGTAAAAACGCCTGGACACAGAACCAAACTCTTGACACTTTTTATGAGCCGGTGAAGGATTGTTTTTTATTATCCGGTGTGTTCTCGACCCTCACCTACAGCGGAGAACAACAGCAGACAGCTGGGGCGCGCCATTAATGTTTTATGCGCTGTGTATATTGAGCTCGCATCCCGGAGCCGTGGCCCCGTGAACCCAATAGAGGGCTAATGTCGGCCCGGGATGAATGCATAAAGAGGCTTGGCTGCACTGTAATGGGCTTCCCAGAGCAGGTTTCATAGAGTTCAGTCCCACTGTCTTTATGCGTTATGGCCCTGCTGTCACAGTCTGATGGACGCCGTTTACACTGAGAGTCACACGCTGAGACTCAGGAGGGAGGAGAGGAGGGAGGATGTGGGAATTAAGAAAGCAGCAGGAGTGTATTTAGATGATGATTTGTTTCTGTTGATGTCCGTAGATGTTTTGGTAAATGTGTTAAATTAAAAAGGAACAAAAAAAAAACACAAAACCCCCCGGAGAGCGTGAATAACTGCACTGAAGACACGTCTATATTTCACAATGCAGTGTTCTACTGCAACAGGTGGAAAATAACCAGGTACAGTACTGAGAGCAAACAGTGCTGTTAATATTCACATTATTATCAACTTATAATATGATAATCTTATAAAATTATAAACCTTATATAGAGAAATGTCTCCACTGGCCCTCTACTGTTGTAAATCCCCCTGAACCCTGTGAGTCCAGTGCTGACACAGAGTGGACTGTTTGGGACATTTCTATAAAAACAGAGTTACTTTCTCTAATCAGAAGAGGGCAGCTCACTGTTAGCTCATTTAGGTCTGACTTCCAGCTCGCTGTTGCAGGCGAGGTACACTGATGGAAACAATGTCAGACTGAGGAATGACATGATTGTCAGGCTACAGTCCTAATAAGTATATAAACACACAGTGTCTGATATGAATCAGTGTGATAAGAGACAGACATTACACACAAGCATTCATCTCATTTTGTCTGATCTTGTGTTAATTTGAGTCTGTCACTGAACTCTGTCTATAGAAGCACATGCAAGTTCACAGTTTTCAGTATGTAAGAGAGATGTTCACTGATTACTGAGAGCAAGGCAGCATGGGAGAAAGATAAGGAGAGAGAAAAGTAGAAAATGGAGGAAGATCCGTCTGACACAGCAAAGCAGAGGATCAGAGAGCAAAAAGAAACCTTATCTTATTGTTTTTTGTTATCGGACAATAAAGACTGTTAGGGACTACAGGCAAGGTTAAGTGGATCATTTATCTTCTTAAGTCTTGTGCGAGTTACTGAAGTCCTGGATTCACCAAAAAACACAGACCAGGTCTTCTGTTATCTACAATGTCAGTAGTATCTGACATAAAATGAGATCTTTCTTAAAATTCCAACAACAAAAACTTTTAATTAAGTACTGAAGGACAGTTTATGTTCTTTTAAGTTTGTCTATTCTATTTTCCTGTTATTCATTTTTATTTTACTCTTTCAAATCTATAATCTGTAACATTAATTCATTAAACAGTGTAGAAACTCTAGACTTATTCTATATGTTGTTAAGTTATGTACTTAGGATGAAGAGAAGTCCAGGGAATGAGCAGGTGAGAGCTTATCTAGTTTGAAGCCACAGTTTGACTGCATTAATCAGTGTTTTTAGCCGCTTTAATCAGCGTAGAGGAGACCTTTGGGGGGATCTTACTGTACGTTGAAACTTAAGTAAATGTGTTGTTTTATATTGCCTTCCGTTTTTTTTCTTTATTATTATTATTATTGTTAAGATGCTGGACAAACAGAATTTGTTTTGTGATGTGTACATTTTTTAATTATTGTTAATATCCAGCATTAGTGTGACGTCATGATAGACGATGATCTCTGAATATTTTAAACCCACGTAAAACAGGAAAATATTTACAGCATATTTGTTGTTTGGTTCTGCAGGATGAAGACTGAGAGAATTATAATGTGTCACAGTGAATGACGTCTGTTACATGCAGAGTGGCAGCAGCAGTACAGATCCTCTATCATTAATATTTTCCATCCTGATTACTGCTGCAGACAGCGCGGCTCTGATAAGAGCCATCTCAGTCAGTTCAATTCCAAGAGCACATCCCACGTTAAAGTCCAGAACCAATCATTATTAATCACTCACAGCTCTGCATCTCCTTCTGGAAATGGATCTGTGGCTGCAAATAAATCCAACACTGAAATAACAGAAACGTGCAGTTCCTCTAACAGCCACTAGAGGCTGGCTCCAGCAGCGAGTTAGTCGCCATAAGGCACCATACTAAAATGTCTAACTGTACATTAAAAATAAGCCTTTTACAGCCTTTTGGTCTGTAGAGCTAATATACCCGTTCATGACAACTGTACGTTTATACAACTCACCCCTTTAAATTATATTAAAGGCTTAAAATTAATGCCGTTTCCTATCGAGTATATGAGACATCCTGCTATCTATCAAACAGTTAATTAACAACATAT